TTAACGCTCTTGATTTAATAACATTTTTATGTACTAAATTAAGTCGCCATTCAATCAATTTCAGAGAAAAACTACCAGATGATGACTTAGATTACGGTACTTTTATTACCTTCCGCTATATACCACTAAAAGTCAAATAGTTGAAATTTCTGTTTAGCCAACAAATTATTTAAAGGAAATTGCCAATCAATCTCGAATCAAAATTTTCCTCCGAGAAACTCAAAGTTGGTGTTTTGACAACTAGGAAGTTGTCCGAAGCGTTGTCCAGACTAATACTGGACCTTGTCGGCATCTACAAAGAGATCTGGATCAGAATATCAGGTGTGCAATGATTGATGGGCTGGACGCGGGTCGGAGAACATCACTAAACGGTTCCTCCTTCTCGTCGTGAAGCCTCAATTCAACACCTCTTCGTTTGATCGAGCCCGCGATCTTCACTCTGGTGCGTTTTAATCTTCTCATTATGTAGTAGGTGGAAACATCGTGATCTTGTATGAGTTTTTTTTATAATGGTCGCTTAAAGTAACATTTTTAATATTAAAAGTTTGTTACGGTATGTTAGCCAAGGCAATCTCGCTCGTCTAGGCATTCCAAAAATATGTAATTATAAAATGCGAACGATCACGTTCTGTTATGATTGAAGCGCAAGATTGCAATTAATGTGTTAATAGTTCTACTTGAGCTCGTTGAAATCTGCTTCAAATTCAGATTGAAAGGAAAGAGCAACAAAAGTTAAAAGCTGGCGAAACATTTTTCCACTGTAAAGAAACGTCACTTCTATCTTGTTACTGAGCGATGCTATCATGATGATACACTTTTTTCGACCGATCATGCTTGACAATGTGCTCTTTCTATAAATCACATTAAATTACTAGTTTGATGAAAAGCGTTTATCTTCTTTAACAGCGTTGATGCAATTACAATAGAGGTCTTAAATAATGGATCTAGATTCTTGACATGATCGAAACATGTGTTTGAAAATATCCATAGCGTTCAAACGGCAAAATAATAAATAGATCATTTTCCTGTCGACAATTTACCCTTGAAATTTTAATGATTATAAACCTGAGTTCATTCTTAAAAATTATATTCATTGCTAAATGCTTGCTGTGGGAATACATTTTATCCATCATTCTTATACGTTGCTATTCTCTAAGTAAATCAAATTTGATTATAGTTCAATTGAAATTGAAAACATTTTAAAGAAAAATAAGATGCCTGCATTATCAATTAAAAAAATAGTCAAGGCTCAAAGATTTATCCTCAATACACTTTCCGTTAACTCAAAATATGTAAAACCTTTTTAATGTATTTACTAAAGGCGTGTCTATATACTTGCAGAAACACATACAAATGGTATATGTTTTTTCTGTGTTATTAAGTATATAGAAAAAAAAATCGAAAACTAAAAAACTAACTGTTAAAACTTAGATATTTAAGTATAGCAATAAATTTTTATAATTAAGTTGCTCTCATAGTAGTGACTAGTGACTAGTCTTGCCTAAATTTTAATTATTTAGTTCACCGCTTAGATGTAATAACATTTTTGAAAAAATGTTAAACTTACAGTTGTTTTAGAATTTTTCAAATCACAACTTTTTCCGATTTTTGAAACTTACAAATAAAGTACCGAAAGCTAGACTTTGTCTCCCCAATTTTTTATTCAATAAAGGCATTTCTTATTATTATTTTTAATAATTATTATATTATTATTTTTAAAACGAGTAGACTACCATATATTTTTTGTAAAAAATCTGATCAACTTTAAACTGATTAATATTATTTTAAGCCAGTTGTTAGTGCTTCATTTGTTAGATGCATCAATTATTAGGTATGTATAATAATGTGAAGTAGAATTTAAATAAATGTTTTTATTAAAATGTCGTCAAAATTTTTTACTGCAACTTGCTATAGGTATATTAATTTTTCGAGTTAAAAGTTATTTAAAATAGATATCTTACTATAAAACTTATAATAGCGGTGAAAGGTAGAAACAATTTCTTTTTCAATCTGATGTTTTAAAGAGTAAAAAAAGGTCTATAAGACTTTTTATTAGAGGCTTTAGAAATTACAGTTTTAATATAAAAACAAAATGGGTGAAAAACTCTTAAGCAAACTAATGAACTAAACTTTTTTGGTTTTGTCAACATCAGCACTAATAAATTCATGAATCTCACTTAAATTTAATAATAAGAATTCATTTTTGGTAAATTATATAAAACGTACAGACTTTTATTGGCTAATAAATTTTTTTGAAGATAAATTAATGTAGGAGTGTCATCCGGAGAATGTAATTATTTGTTGACATTTTTTTAAATATCAGCATTTCATATGAGGACCACACATTACTTTATGGCTACAGAATTATCCAATTAGGTTGGGTAATAAAAATACAATATCAAATACAATAAATATCACATGAATGATAAATATTCATATTTAGCTTATTTTATAAGGCGGCTCTTTGTATTGCAATATCAAAACTATTTTATTTCGTTTTTTAAAAGATTCATTATCATATACACAGTATTATGTCTTTTCTACTGTCATTTTCATAGTTCAGAACATGGTCCATATTTGTATAATATATTCATATCAGTGCGAACATTTTTTACAGTTAAATATTTATTATTAACCATCATTTCCACAATACTAACTTTAATCTTATGTTAATTTTACGTGCGTTGTTTAAAAATTGTAAAAAAAATCTAACGTTAAATAAAGTAAAAAATAGCATTTGAGGATATAAATTATGTAATTGGAAACATGTCCTTAAATCTGATGGTGGGATTGTTCGGATAAACTTTATTTTTCATGAATTAATGAATATTGTGTAATTTCGATGATAATAAATTATTTGGTATTTTGAGTAAGCAAATGCTTTTCACTTTGTCCCATCGAAATAGTTCTTCTCGATAAAACCAGAGTTAATTAAAATTTAAAAAGATATTTGGTTTCATAATGAAGCATCTCATCGTAATTTATTATCTCGAAATCGTTCTCCTCTCTTATAAATGGTTCTAAACACATAAAGAGATCAACATAAGATGGCCTCGTTGTGAATTATGAAAATGAAGTAACTTCCCGGTAACCCTGCTTAACGAGAGAAATATTCATAAAGTAATCTTAAATAAATAGGTCATCAGAACGGCGTCGACTGATGGACGGGAAGACCACATCTACCATCTACTTAAAGAAACATTACAAAAGACTTTGCAAAATCAATGTAAACAAATCAAAGCAAAAAATGTATGAAACTGCCGTAATAATTGACTTAGTGAAGAGACAAGGCTACGACATGTTTCACATATCCTAATTACACTCGAAAATAATAGCATTTGGGTAGACCATGCATGAAACTTTAACCGCGGCAAATGGGTAGGTCATGAGAACCAAACTATTTTAAGTAAACAATTGTTTTCACTTTCCTTGAGTTTGTTTTATATATCGTTTAAATAACTATCCATAGGATTGCAAAACTTTAAAGTCGTTTATTTATAGTAATTGCACAAGTGCAACCAACTATTTGTATGACTTTTTACAACTTTACGGTTGACATTAATTTTGAGCAAATTTGGAAACCTTTTATCTAGTCGAGATTCGGCAAATTGACAAGACGTATCATTACAATGCACGTTTAGTAACACGCAATTGTGATGATATTTTGCAATGGGTATATAATGTTAACTGATTTTCTGCTTATAATCGCACTAACCCTGAGCCTAATTGCAAGGAAGAAGTGCATCAGAACTCAAGATTACGTTTTAATTAACAAACAAAAACAAGGTAACAATTAAACACTGAATTTATGCTAATAATAAATAACACAATTCCTGTTAGCATATTTGATTCGATTTTGCGATAGATAAAAGCGTCCGACTTGGTACTGCGTGAGAGAAAAACAATAGAATACCACTTAAGCCACTCATCTCACTCCTTCTGATTACCACAAATTTTTGAAATTGATTTTGTGCCATATATCTTGGATAAAAATGCAAGATCGCCCTCATTCTGCCAGAGAAGATATTCGGCGGAAATTTATGGGTAACATCGCGAGCAATTGCCATTGTTAAAAGCATAGCCGAATGACGGGCTTATAATTTATATGATGACACAGGCGGTTGTTGTCACAAATTGTATAGTGAAATAAATCACAATAACGGGTTTACCTTTAGAAGGAATTTGAGAATTTTATTCGAGTATATGCGGGTGGTGCTGCAAGCACCCAAACAATATTTTGCAGTTCCGCTAGAAAAAGCAGCACTTTTGATTTCGCAGTCGTTTTACCGTGTCAGGATTTACACAACAGAGACTTTCTGTGTTACACTTATCACGGTCAAATGCCGTTTTATTGAGGCCCGGATCATTAGTAATTTATTAGTTTTGTTTTGCGCGGCTCCACCGAACAATCGCACAATAGTCGGAAACTTGGCTACGATTTTGAGCCTCATTATATCATTGTAATATAAAATTTATCCGTTCCCCATAATGTATAGAGTCACGAGCAGGTAAAAGAGCAATTTTCTTCAATATTTATTATTTTTGCGTTATATTATTATAAACGTACTTGATTTTATGGCCTCAATAAGATATACCTACTATTAACAACAAATCTGCTGTAAGAATTATGAAGGAACTTGAAGATGCTACGTCCTTAATGAAATCATGAAACTAATCCTCACTGTTATCCGTGTCGTGACCTCTTTGCGACCTCAATATTTCATAAAGATCGTCATCTAAAATATGTATACGACCCAAAAATACTCATTGGCGAAATTGAAGACGACAAAACAATTAACGGATATAATTCAAATATGACATGTTGTATTACTTAGAGCTAATTATTTAACCTTTCAACTCAAAAAAATGTGGAGGGATGACAGACATGTATAATAAATTTATATATACTTAATTAAAAACATTTTTTATTAAAATCGCAAATTAATTATTACAAACTTTAATCAAACTGTCAGACACACCAATTCAAGTTTTTTTTTCAGATGAACCAAACGTGCAAAGTATGTGGCGAACCAGCAGCGGGATTTCATTTTGGAGCTTTCACGTGTGAAGGATGTAAGGTCAGTATGTCGAGCAATGTACTTATATTAGTTGAATAAGTATGTAAAACAAATAAAGGTGGAAGCAGAATGATTGAATAACTTGTAAATTGAAGTGCTCCAACTCGACGCTTCCTCTCACCGTATTTTTAACACCTCGTATCCAAGGTAGTAAAAAAATATTTTAATTATTTATGTACACAAACATGTCGCTTGAAATACAATTTATTTTTTCTATTAGCAAATTTCTTTGAATGTTGAAGCCAACGGTCAGTCTGATACAGTGCTATTTAAAGTCAGTTAACAATGTTAAGACATCGGCAATGTCCTCTAAGCAGTAGGAATACTTAGTGATAAGAATAACTTTCGTTTTTTGTCACGTAAAGTGACGTAAACTTTGGTCGATGCAAGAATATTAACTAACGGCAATGACAATCAAGCCTGAAAAAAATAATAAGCACTTATTAAAAATTTATTTGCAATTTCTTTGCCGACAATATAACCACTTAATATTTTAAACACATGTGATTTACAAAACCAATAACAGCCATCAGTGATTCCGCGCAGGGTTAAACCCAGGGCCAGATTGGGGAAACTTAGAACTAGAGGAATCCCAGAAATCTGCAGTTTTTAATTTATTAATTTTTTTACAGTTGACATGTTTTGATTCTTGGCTTGTAGCTTTTGGTATTGAAATAGGATTTATGTGTGTTTTTTTAAACAATTTTCTTGTGTATTTTTTTTCAGTCTTTCATAGTACTTTATTATGTTTATACTGATTTTCTTGTGCATTTTTTTTCATTCTTTCATAGTACTTTATTATGTTTATACTGATTTGATTTTTTTTGCTTTCGATTAATTTACCTATTGGTTACATTATCTAATAATAATAATAATTGTTTCATATTTTTTATTGGTTTTTAATTTTTGATGTAAACTTCTACTAAAACGTGAAATAACAAAAATTAGCATAACGTCCAATTTCAAACATCACAAATTCTTTTAACTAGCTCGTAATGATAAAGCACCTTCTCCCTAAGCTCCAACAAGGCTATTATAGCCTGGAAAACTAGTAATTCTACTAAGACAAAATCTACATACACCCTATGTATAACCTACATTTTTTTATTTTATCGTATTCTGAGATTAATTCATGTATTATTCATTATTAATTTCATGTATCTGAGCCTTTCAGTTTTTAAATATTTTTTTTTAAATTTTATTCCTTATTAGTATTTACAAATTTGCAAGGTTTTATGCAAAACTCTAACTAAAATGTAAAAAAAAAAAACAAAAATGCTGGAATAAATTCAATGTCGACAAATTATTAAAGTTTTTGGCTCTCAAGTGGGTTTAGCCCTGCTTCCCGTAGCAAATCCCGTCCTGGTTAAACAATTTTTTAGATTTTTTAGTAAAACCTTGTAATATTGTCGCAGAAGTGTAACCTCATTTCAATTGTTTCAGTTACAAAAGTTGTACCCAGTAGTGGCAACAATTTATTGTAAAATCAGTGAATGAGAAGAAAATGTCATTGCTTCTTACCACAATACAGTATTAAAAAATTCATGTCAACTTGAGTAAACTTTGTTTTATTATTAGAAACAAAGCCACCACAGGTTATTGTTATTGTTCTCTTTGTGGACGTCTTGATATGAATTCATAAAGTAATTTATTGTCGCCATAAATCGCCTTTAGTCCTTGAGATGCTTTGTAATATGGCAACAAAAGGCTAAAATATTGTTACTCAAACTCGGTTAACCTCTAATGCTGGTTTTTAGCTTTAGCAGCGCTCCAATTTAGAGCACATTTCTTAATTTTCATTTAGTAAAAAATTTCAGAAAATATCTATTCCACTTGAATAATCTGCAGTTGCATCGTATTTCATTCTTAACAATAGTTTTGCTGAAATACGTCATTGAACCTAACAGTAAATCAAATCACTATCATTAACCTGTTTTTGTTATTGCGAGACATATCAACCATATTAAAGTAACTACGGTAATCCATTAATGACTACTATAAAATTTCGATTACTTTTCCTATATCACAGATATTACATAACAAAGCACGCAACTAGCTTATACATAAATAGAATTGCAATGAAGACTAGCCATTTTGGTGACAATAGAGAATTACGAACCGAATAATCTGGCCGAGTTTTCATGGTACAATGGGTCTGAAATCGAGGGGCTGACGTAATACGCGAGGACATACGTCACGTGCGATGGCAGGACGTGCGTGCGTCCGGAGCACTACTGAATCGTAAGAAAGAACTAGAGCATATAACTTGCGGTTTTACACCAACTGACTTTTGCTTCTCTTATTAAAAGGGGACTTAAGCAGCCTAATTAACAGATTATTAAAAAATCAGCTTTTTCTGAGCACGAGAACTACAAATACTTAATTAAAATGCTATGAATGTAAACTGTAATCTTTTTCTTAATAATACATTTGAATGACGCAAAGCAGCTTTTACAGCTAAGCTGAAAACAAAAACTGAACTTCAAAAATATTAATTTTGAATGTCTTTAGACATCATTCTTACTTGTATTAGAAGGCAAAACTAGAAAGCAATATTTTTTTAACGACATATCAGTATCTTAGACCCCATATTCATTTTGATTTTTACAGTTTTCAAAGTTTTTTTTTTAATTTTATTTTTTTAGTTTATTTTATTATTTAGTGAATAACAGAAATGGTGAAAATTATTTCAACTATAACATCAAAAAATTTAAAGCATTACATGACAATTATTTTGTGTCTCTTCATTCATTATCGAAATTATTAGTTCAAGTACATTGAACAATTGTAATTCTCATTAACGTAAAATTTATGAAGATTGTATGCAATATTATGGAGCACACGTGCACACACGTACGAGATGACAAGATGAGTCTAATAAAACTACGTTAGTAAAGATGTTCTAGAATTATTTAGCATATATTTAACTGAAATTATTCTAGATCGAACGAGCATGGATATCACTCAAATGATCCTACGATTTACTAATTATTCAAATGAGAGATAAGATGAAAGTTGAAACCTTTTGCACATTTTTACATTTATTTAAAAAAAAATCCTTTTCAAGGATAACTTTTAATCATAATCAAACTTGTGGTAATTAATTCTTGCAGACTTGCTTATTAACTAGGATCATATTTTTCCTAAACAAATTTCCTTTTTTCTAATTCTTTATTTAGTTTGTTAATAATAATGGTAATTGACGAACAAAATAATGTGTTCAAAATTATATAATGTACTTTTTTGAAAAATACATAATTTTGGTTGGTAACAATAAACTGTGATATAATCCGACAACAAAACTGCAGATAAAAAAATAAACACAGCCAATGGATCTATTTAACATTTTTTTGTACAAATTTAGCAAAAAGTGTTCGGAATATTAAGTCAAAAAGCTAATACCGACTGAAAAAAAATAATAAACCAAATAATTTTAGCGTAACTATGATAGATTCAGACTATTCAATTAAAAAAATCTTTACTTTTTCCTTTTTTAATTCTTTTTATCTACTTTTGAAATTTCATTGCAAACTAGAGAAACTAGAGAGATTTCTGCAAAAATTATTATAAATGTATGAGATGATTAGAATATTAAGTCAAAAAGCTAATACCGACTGAAAAGAGAAATAAACCAAATAATTTTAGCATAACTACGATAGATTCAGATTATTCAATTAAAAGATTTTTACTTTTTCCTTTTTTAATTCTTTTTATCTACTTTTTAAACTTTGTTGCAAAATAGAGAAACTAAAGAGATTTTGGCAAAAATTATTATAAATGTATGAGAGGATTAAAATTAGATTTGATTTTTATAGAAATTTTGTGATAACTTTGATCAAGTAAGTGTTGTCATATCTTTAAAAATATTGAAGCTATGGCTTTGTGTGTAAATGCTACATGCTTATGTAATCAGTAATAACTTTAACTCCAGCATATAAACTGAAGTGCATTTTAGTCATTCAGTTAAAACACTGAAAAATGGCATTGAAACGTTAAATAAGTTAAATAAGAGACGCATTATTAAAGTAAATTGTTTATAAGAAAAGATTAGGTCCAAGCTATTGAAAGCTTCATTTAGCGTTGTAGCCGTTGACTGGTCAGAGCAGCTCTCAATAATAACTTTGAAGTATCCTCACGATCAGCCCACGAGCTTGGAGAAGTCCAAATCTGCTAGTGGGTGCAGAAAAGTGTTTGAATGGTACTCTTCATTTGCATAACAGCAGGCCGTCTCAATTTGAATATAATTGCATACAATTAACCGACGATTACACAGTTGGGTAGTAGAGCGCTAGGTGCGGGGAAAGTGCTAAGTGCGTTGCATGCGAACTAACCCGAGCAAGCCTTACGTCATTCGTCTTCCGACCCAGTGATCCACATGCCCAACGGGCCAAGCCGACCCGCCAATGCCGCCCTACAACAACAATACCTGCATGCACAATTTCACTTTTATTGTGGCATTGTAACTAATATGACGCAACCTCCTTAGCCGGAAGTACAATTACTCGCTTCGATATATTCTCCGGAAAAAACAATCATCTTATATAGATTTTTTTGTTGCAGTCGTTCTTCGGGAGATCGTACAACAACCTCAGCTCCATCTCGGAATGCAAAAACAATGGCGAGTGTGTCATCAATAAGAAGAATCGGACGGCTTGCAAAGCTTGCCGACTGCGGAAATGTCTGATGGTTGGGATGTCAAAAAGCGGCTCGAGGTACGGACGAAGATCAAACTGGTTCAAAATCCACTGCTTGTTGCAAGAACAGCAGCAACAGCAACAGGCAGGAAGTACGATACAACCCGGACTAAAACCGCCCCAAAAGACCCCATCGCCGCACCAACACTTAGGTTTAGGCCTTTTGAACCAGCCATTCGGTCACCCTCTCATGCATCATATCAACAAAACCAAAGAAGAACTAATGCTTCTTGGACTAGATGAATACAAAAACTCTGCTTCTCCTTCTGTCAGTTCTCCTGAATCGCACAATTCAGACTCTTCAGTGGAGATTAGTGATGCTAGGAGAATACCCCTTTTCCCTGGATTAATCCCTCCAACATTTCTACCTCCTCATAGTCTACTCTTCCCTCCCGGATATCCGCCTTTATACCCCGGTCTCCTCCAACCGACAAACAACAACAACCGATTAATGCGAAATCACAACCCCGGAGTCGAAGCGTTCAATAAGCGAGTCTTCCTCGATGCTGTTTTACAGTCGCAGAGATCTCCAACCCCGGAAGTGGAAGCACCACCTCCCGCCGAATCACCCCTTCAGGAAGATCCCATAGACTTAAGTATGAAAACACTGAGTGAACGAGGGTCGTCGCCAGCTCGCAGCGATCGTTCAGATTCAGTAGTAACGGAACAAGGTGCTGGCAGCGAAGCTGACGAAGAAAGTGACTGTGAGTCCGAGAAAGAATTGAAAAGGATAAAATTAGTCAGACCCGCTCCACTGGACTTAACCACAAAAGTGTGATAACTAGTGTATTACAAATTACCACTGTGTTCCATTCAAGTATTGATTTATTTAAGTAAGTCGATGGTGTTAGACCATCCTGAAAGTGGTCTAATCACAAGCGTGGGAAATTTTGAAGATGCGCTATTGAAAGGATATGACGTTGACGGATGCCTGAACTCAACCAGGAACAATACGGCATTAATGTGCAAGACTTAATCAACGTGTTGACCTGCCTCACAATTGGGTTGACCTCTTCAATTGATTGATGGGCTATCCTCGTATCTGTATATCGCACAAAACATCTTATATTCGCTCCTATTTGCAGCTCGCTAATCGTCTATCAACTTCCAATCTAAACGTATCGTTAACGTAATTATTAAGCCGACTGTAGACCATTAATCTTGCCCCGATGATGGCAGCTATTAGCGTCGATCGTGTGCGCCTAACTGCATCATAATGTATTTTGCATTAACAGAGAAGAAAATCTTTGGGTGGCCCCAATAAAAGGTTCAGATCGGATCACATTCGAATTCGAAATTCTAGCGCAGCTAAAGCCACCTGAATATCCCTTGTCGTCAAAATCCCGTGTTCATTCGCAAACGAAAATCTTATGTTACCATAAAGTATATTATCTTAGTATTTAAGGCACACCACTGCAGTTTTTCGTTCGTAAAGATAAGTATTTTCTCGACACAATCTATTTTTATACCTTGATGCTTGTAGAAAATTTTGTAAATACTAGCTTACTTTCAATTATTTAGATTTATTCAATTTTCTAGTGATATTTTAGTTTATTACTCATTTAACAAAATGTGAATATAGTTGGCCAGTATGTAGTTGTATCCTATAAGCTTTTGTGAAATTTTGTTTCCTTTTTTGTAATTATTGTGTATATAGTCTAAATGAACAGTGCAATGTTAGGGTTTATTTTTGATCTGTTTTTAATTTATTTATATCGATGGCCGGCTTTTCCTGGCACATCTTATTTTAGTTAATACGACTTTGTTATGTTTCTAGTTCCACTGAAACACACTCACTTGGAGAGGCCACAATTAGATGGGCATTTAAAAAAATATAACGTAATTGTATTTTATATATTTATCTGTTGTTGATCATTATTGTGTTCTTTTGATGATTGCAATTCCTGTTTGATGATCAGGGACTTGGGCCAGTTGAATGTGCGAGAATGAATGTCATGCATGCATGTGTACAAAACCGTTGTATAAAATTTTAAATAAATCATAAAACATTCCTTTTTGTTTCATCACAAAAACATTCCAGTATCAACACGTAAATAACATCAATTAATAAAATCGTTGTTGTCTATTTATTTGTAGTGATTAGTAATAGGCAGCCTCGCAATTTAAAGAAAGGAAGATTTACTATGTTAAAAAGATAAATCAAAATCAATCGAAATCTTCCAAGTGGTAATTCCTATTCGTATGCTAAAATTTAAATTTATAATTAGATAACCGGTTTACTTACTTCAGTAATTGCAATTCTACACCATGATATACGCATCATAAAATTATTTCGCAGTATGACATTAAGTTTTAATAGATATTTTTATTAATAACATAAATTGTTATATGTTCACTAATGTCGACGCTAATTAATGATTGTAAACTCATCGTTTGATACAAAAAGCAACAGCATCGCTTCTAAATAAAATAAAAAGAAAATAAAACTAAATGTACCACCAACAGAGTTGTAGATGAAATGATAAGACAATATCAGCTTACCAAATTGTACTTTCAATCAATAATTAATATTTATACTTTAAATTGTTAGTTTAAAACATCTGCTATTTTTTATCTGGAATAAATGCAAATGCAAATAAGTAAAAACCGTTTTCAAAAATTTCCAGACAAAAAAATGTTGGTCGAAGCGACCTACATCATGTTTCCTCTACTTTGGAAAATCAAAAATGAGGTACACTATAGATTAATAAATAATAATACAATTTTCAGTCAAAAATTCTGTGTATTACTAAAAATGGGTTGACCTGTAAACTGTTTTCATTATTTTAAACTACTTAGTTTAATTGTCCAAAAATTGAGTTATCTGAACAAATTGATTATAGTTTTTTAAATATTTAACATACGGAATTATTTTTAAGTGCACAAGTTTTAGTAGAGTTCAAAAGAAGTCAAAATAACTTGTCTTATCCAAATGTTTATAGTTTCTGAGATATAGAGGGTGCAACCTCCACTTTTGATATTTTATCCCAAAGTTTCGCTAGTTGTGGGTAACATATGAGCTAATGAAATTTGGTGCTATCGTCAACAAAAATTTGGTTGCACAATTTTTAACCTAACCTTATCGATAGAAAATTGTTGGGCAAAAATACAGTAGGCATTTCGATTACTAAATTAGTGTGAGAATTGCGACTGATGTAATCAATAAATGATGTGTGTACGTATCATTTATTAACAATCTAGTTGATTAGTCTCGAATTTAAAATGGTAAATCAATTATATCACCTTCCCAAGACACAGGCTAAGTATTTTCCTATACGAGTAAGTTCCACTTGTTTCAATCTCTTTGATTATGCAAATAGGTAATGTATTTTCCATAATTGGTAATTCACTGACAATTACGGTACGAAAGGTTAAAATAAAATACCGAGTACAACAAAATAATGTGATATGAACCACCCCCTATAATTTGCCTACTTACAATTCTATGTGAACAATGTGTGCAATCTTTACACAAAAACGCATATGAAGAATATAATACTACAATTAGAATTTTTTTAACTGCGAGAAAAAAAAATTAAATATTGCTTCTCAAATTTTTATTAAGAAAATTGAGGTGATATTACTTAAATTTTCAGTCTTATTACTTCACCTGTTTTAAATATTTTTTACACATGCGATGCTAATGATGACTGACAATTTAAGAAGCAGATAATTGGGCACGTATGTATTTAGGACGTTGTATGTCTACAGAGTATTGTCACGTCAACATTTTTGTATTTTAATTCAGGTTAGGTACATTATTATGTTCGGATGTGAAAGCAAATTCAGAGAATCAAGCTCAAGCATGATTTCATTCATTTTTTCTTATTTTTCTAAAAATAAATTTAAAAAAATTAAAAAATGCTAATTTCATAATACGTTATGCTTATTTAATGAACAGGTAAAACTCATAATAACAAAAATGCACAATAGATTTTAATCATTAGAGAGACGGCCATAATTTAATTAAATATAATATCAAGACAAGAAAATAAAATATTTTTTATAAATGTATTATTCGCTTCTACTCAACTTGCGCGACTCATTTTATCTACCTACTCTCTTAATTATTTGTTAGCGACAATCAGATAAGTGAAACTTTATTATTGTGGCGTTCAAAGATAATGCCAAACATTAAAACCAGATTTTAAGCAATGGTAAATTATATCACTGTTAGAATCTTAAATATGTTTGTAAATACTCTTGAAAAATGCACATCTGAACGTTAGAAAATGACACAGCAAAAATTGCAGTTTTAAATATATACACAAATACATTTTTCAAAAATCATGTTTTAAGAGAAAATCTGAAGAGTTGCGATAATTTTAAAATATGTCAATTGGTTTAGATGCCACAAACCCGTAATATAAATTAGTATAAGTTGCCAATATTTTGACTTTCGCTACACGATGAAAAATTTAGGTTGCTTTATTTGCTAAATGAATTCTAATTATTAGCAACTGTAAAAAATTTTCGGCAAAAAATGTATATAAAAAATTTTTGAGAAAGCATGGGAATCTGCTAGTTCCAAAGATTGCAGTACAACAAACCGCAATTTTTAATAATTAATTTACGCACAAATAAGCATCTGTAGTAAAATTAGATATTTGATATCATTTATGTATATGAGAGATGTTAGTGGGAGTGCCTGACTTAGAGGTGTTGTGCCACATACAAGAGGTCATGACCTTTAGCTCTTCTCTCGCATATAAGATGTTCAGAGACATCCTCTTATACGGATACGGATGAAGATTCATTACTAATGATATTTTTATAAGATTCTCAATTTACTGTTCTTAATGCCTTCAATCAATAAAAATATTACATTCAAACTGCACAAACATAAATTCTTTTCGAAATTTGTTTCAACAGTTTATCTGAATAATTTATTATAAATGCCTAATGAAATCTCAAAAATTTCTAATAAATAAAAGTAACAGACAGGTCAAACTGCCTTATACGCTAGTTAAAAAGAAAGAATTTACTACTTTCTTTACTAGCATCATCTATCAAATAATAGACGGATCTATTGTCGCATAGAAAGTAAAATAATACATGTTTAATGCACTGTAAGTTATGTCTTTTGCATTTGACATTACGTCTTTGATTAGATTACCTAAAATTAATTAATTGTTTCAGGCACAAGCTCAGTTTATTTCTTATGAATGTACGAAGTGATTTTAAGTATGTGCAAATATTTTAACAGGTGATAATAAAGATCAGAAAAAGTCAAAACACTTAAACTTGCCGAATGTTAATAGTCTTTGAGGTCTTGAGATGACTCAAGCGTAGACAAAGACAATAAGCCAAATAAAAGGTGTTTATAATAAGTTATGACAAAGAAAAATACATACACATTATCTTTTTTTTTTTAAATATCTGCATAAATAAAAACCTGACATTTTTCGTTTTACAAAAGCTTACTCAGTAAAAAAATCCAAAATACACCTTTTCCTTTGACTACCATAAATATACAAGTTTAGCTAATTATTTGCAAGTGCAAGTGATTTTATAACCTTTGATACGTAAAATCTTAGAAAAAATATTTTTAAGAATAACTTCTCCAAAAAAATTTTCAAGATATTTCACACCATTTTTCAGTCAGTGGTTTAAAAATGCTATTAGACCAAAAACAAAAGATAAATGGCAAACTAAAATTATACCTATATAAGTATGTCCCCGGATTGGGTTTACAAGAGGAAAAAATCTTTGATTTTAAGCCAAAACTGCACAAGAAAAACATTTTTTGCTTCACCTGAAACGAGCAAATTTGTAATTAAAACTTTATTATTCTGATTCAGTGAGAATAAAAGTTAATTTTTCTTTTAATCAATTAATCAAATCTTTTTCTTTTTATAAACTCAATCCGAGGACATACTGTATTATTTCAGTCAACCCAACATTTTCAAAACAAGAGTTGTTCAAAATAGGATTTAAACTTCGTTTTCGATTTATTATATTCTTCATAGTCTTTTTTCAAATTTCATTAGTTCTGTTTAAAATAATTATTACACTTATTTTTCCGGAGAATTACGCTTTTACGAGAAATTTCCGGAAATATTTCCACTTCCCCTGTTTTTTTTCTGTTTCTTTAACAATACAGGGTGTGTCAGAACTCGCACTCCAGAGAAAAATTTCAAGTAGATAAGATACCAAGAATATGGAAAAATTGTCAAAAAATTTAGAATTGAATTTAGACATATTTATTTATTTTTTGACATTTTACATTTTTTATGTCTATTTAATGATATTGATAATCTTGTACCTATATGTTTTAATAAACATAAACAAATAAAAGCCACAAATAACATTGAATAGAAATACAATTTAGAATACAGTTTCCTTGTTTCATCTTCTAATAGACTGTAGCAAAAAAACTTGGAAAATTATTTTTACAACAGAAATAAATAGTCAATGTGCAAAATTTAAACTTTCATAACTTCGAAATTTTTATAGATAGAATTATTTTAACATTTTTTCCATGTTCCTGGTACACTGGAGTGCAAAAAAAACAAATTGTCAAAAACAAAATTGTAATATTTTTCAGATTTACATAGTGTGAAAAAGATTGTTCCCAAAAAGGTTAGAAAACCATCAAAAGAAACGTCTTATATTTGGTAGTCTTGCGAGTCTTGCCAGTGCAGTGTCATAGTCCGTGTCTTTTTCATCATTAACATTTATTATTAAATCATTTCAATCACAAATTTGTATTAAACAAAAATAAAAAATTTTTAACAATATAATTGGCATTTATTAACAGGTCTAATTGCATTATAAAAAAATCAATTTGCGTTTTTTTTTGCACTCAAGTGTATCTTACCTTTTTTACATTTTTCTCTGGGGCGTGAATTCTGGCGCACCTGTATATTTTTAAAAAAGACAATGAATTTTCTTCGTATGATTTCTAATTACATATTTTCGTAATTGATTCAATGTGAATAAAAATGTCTGCCTCTAACTACATAAAATATGTGCACGTAAGTAGATAATCTGAAAAACTATCAATAAATTTTACAGCTAAAAATAGTTCCGCACTTTATTATTGATCATAATACAATTGAAAGACTGTAAAAGTGAATATAATGGCATCGTATATGCGGAGGTATTCTGTTACCGAAGAAAAATCTTCTAAACCTTCTATAATGCATGAGTTATGATAGATCATAAACTGAATTAAATAAGGACGATAAATACATAAGATGGTTTAAAAGTTTTCGAATTTCGCATTAGAAATTTATAGTCTATATAAAATTTTATAGTATTTAACTGTTGAATTCTCATCTTCGTTCACATCAAATTGCCAGGGAACATACAAAATGTTATTTTATAGTGCTTTATAAGACAGACCTACACAACTTTATACTGCTCATTAAAAAATTGATTTTATTATAGAGCAATCTATGTAATTGCAACCCATTAAAATAACAGACGGCTTTTAATCATTAAGAAATAAATTAGATATACAACCAAAATAATATGTTCTTGGTTACTCATTTATATTTAAAGAATTGAAATAACTTAAAACCTTTCCCAATTCTTAGGAAGTGATTGAACACTTAAGTTCAATTTTTTTGCATCTTTTATTACAAGGAAATTAAAAATTCAGTCATTTATTATAAATGCGTTCATATTCCATATTGCTAAGAGCTATGCGATATATGGGGGCCCTGACCGCTCGCTATGCTCCTCTAAGGGTGGCATGTGGGCCCAGCCATGGCCCGCGTCATACATCACGTCCGGTAATTACCCTCGGTTCACGTGGAGCGCGGAATTTATGGACTCTGCAGGGGTCTCGCGCCTGTTCCCGTCATTTGTCGCGAACAATTGCGTCCAACTGGTCGATTTCACACTTTGCTCGATGATTTGTGGTCAGAAAACAGATTTCCCACTCCGACCCCATCATTTAGAACAATTTAACGATTAACAGAACTAAATTTAAGTCCCACCACGACTTACGAGGCAATTTATGGCGGTGCTAAGTTATTATTCGTTTACAAGTTCGTAGGTACATATTTTTTAGTACCTACTAATCTACTAGTAATTCTATTTAAGAAGAAACTATTTGATGCAAAATTTGCATGTGAAACAAAAAAAGTGTTTAATAAGTACAGCTTCTTCCAATCAATCGATCAGAAAAAATGCTCAAGAATTTTAATGAATCGTAAAAACGAAAAGTACCATTTTCTTTATCTATTGAGTACAAAAGATACATTAATTTAATATGTTATATTACATTTTATATATATTACATTGTCATTGATACAAAAACTGTAGAAAAATAAAGCCAAAAAGTTTGTGTATGAAAAGTTTCTACAGTGTTATTCATGAGGGTATTTCTAATTTTTTTACCGCAACCAACAACAATACCAATGACACTAACTACTAAATTAAATATGTTCTTCCTTTTATATTAGAAATCAAAGTCTGTTAAACGATAACAAAACATGTCGCCTCGGTTGAGGAATGATTTTTGCTTTAACGTGAAAGAGACAAGATTAATAATAGCCATCGTAGATTCAGTTATAATTATTTTCAAAATTTGAAATCAAGAAACTGTTGCAATATGTATAATAAGTTGCGGCAAATAATTCAGAAATATTCCTTTCATAAATAACTGTATTATACAGGGTGTTTCACGTAATTTTACAAGGCCTGCGCCTGTAAGATGCAATCAATAATACATATTCCGATACGAACTCGATTACAAATTTTGAAGAATTGGATAATCTTCTCTAGTTTGTTCACCCCTTTCAAAAATTACAACGTTTTTAGTTATTTAGTGATTAAGATAGATAAACTAGAATCATATTCATGCCGTCTGCTGATAGAACAAATGATAATTGTTTCTGAAAAACTGCAGTTTATGACTATTAATGAAACAGTGATTAGTTTGACAACTACTGTCATGGGTTTCCAAAAGTTGAATAATTAAATGTGTATTTTTTGTATCTAGTGTTTTGTGACTTTTGTATATCTGGGTGCGTACATTAGGCGCAAGCCTCGTAAAGTTGTGTGAAACACCCTGTATTATTATATTGATATCTGTTCTGTTGAACTTTTATTACTGAATAATTAAACTAAATACAGAAAATATGTACAACATGAATAAGTAAGAAGGCATTGTGGAGAAAATAAAAAAGAAGTCAACATTGAGAAGAAATTGAATAAAGCAAAATATGTATTTATTAAAATGGAAAAAAAAACTAAAAGCCCTATAATTTGTGCTAAATCAGTGTCTTTGTTTTGTAAGAGGATCCGTACCTAATTATAAAATCCACAAAAATCAAAATTTAAACACATTTACACATCAAAAGCAAAATTGGAAGCTTGAATTTGCTATTTTTTGCATCGATTCTCTTAAAACAAACGAGAATTTGCCTGAAAAATAAACTAAATCAAATAAATAAAGCACCCGAAAAAGTATATTTCTTGGAGTAATGTTTTTTTTAATAAAAAAGACTTTCGTTAAATGATCGCAAACAAGCAGAAACACATCTACTTTTGATCTAACTTTGATTTTATTGAATAAATGCATGAAATCGTAAATTTCCTTTAAAATGCCAAAACAATAAAATTTGGTAATAATACCAATTCTCTTTAAACATAAAGTCCGGTTCCAATAAACAAACTAGCCAACTGAAAATTTTAACATTCTTATTATAGTCAAAGTTGCGATTTAAAAAACATATTTAGACATCTTCAATTTTTTTAGTTTTAGTTTTCTTCTAGTAACGAAAGACTTTCCAATCGTCCTCGTATAGAGAGTAAAATTGGTTGCCGGACATCAGGCGCATTCAGTAACCTCTTACAAATTCTTTACACATTGTGAAAATGATATTATTTATAGATATAAACCAATAATTTTTTCACGTATTGTCCTTTCAAATAAAAAACGCATTTTAGGCAATGAAAAATATTAAATGACGTAAAAAAACTATCATTAAGCTCTAAATTTTACAATTAAATAACGAAGTAATATAGTTAAAAAAAATATTATAAAGTTTATATACTTTATTAATGAGTTACAAAAGGTACCAGAATCATTATTAAAATGTTTATTTAAATAACTTAATTACCTTTTTTGTATAAATTTTTGTTTCCATAAACAATTCTGTAATATTCAATAAATAACTTTTAACGTCTCCTCCTTGATTTTACTTCTGTCCATTCTGAATCTTCCTCCATTGGTATTTCTGAAGTCTTTTCAATATTGGGCTCACTTGTATTTGCCTCACAAACTTCACTCATATCTTCATTTTGTGATTTTATACTCTTACTAGAACTCATAGCACCAATAGGTAATTTCTGATATTCTTCCTCAAACATTTGTGTATTTCCTTGTTTAAGTAAATCCACGAATCGGTACAGAAGCAATGCAATTTCTGAAAGATTAAATCAAAAAAAAAGAAACAGAATTTCAAAACCAAACCTTTTGTTGACCCATCTTCACAAATTGTATCAAATTCTTGATCTAAAATGTCATCTAAAGCCTCTTGTATTCCATCTGGCTCTACATTGGACTCATACAAGCAGTACTGTGTTGTATAATTAATAAAGTCGTTCACCACCTAAAAATCATCCACTAAAACTTATAAAAGTATTATAATTGTAGTCTGCTTTACCTCTTTAGGATTACACCCAGATTCAGAGTATTCCACAGCCAATTTAAGGGCAGTCCAATTGTTAAAAATGTGTTGAACAACTCTGTTAAAAGCTTCTTCCATTATGGTAAGATATAATTATAAAACCCTTTATCAATTACAACACTTCTAACATTTGTTGATTACGTTTAGCAACAATAGCACATGGCATCAAGCTGAACGGGGTGTGATATAACCTCAAATTCACAAAAAGGTTACATGTAAAAAAAAAAGTCGAAAGAGGCTAATATAAAAATTCCAACAATTATTTAATAAAGCTTCGTTCTCTCTATTTCTACAAAAACTAGTTTTCTACAAAAATCAAAAATAATTTAAGAATGAGAAAGCGCCCCCTAAGAAAAACGTAGCAAAGCAAACCTGTCTTGTCATTAAACGTCAAATGTTTTGAGGTTAAGTTAAAAATCAACAAGCCGTTTTATCACATTTACTGAACTATAGTAAAACATAACAACACTCATTAGGCTTCTGAATCCAAGATGTTTGACTCTGGAGATACCTTGGCTTTAATTCTTGGACTTTTTATTAGTGGCATTGGAATTTTGGCTTGTCTTGGGGCCTATGCCAGAAAGAAAGCTCATTTTGAACGCATTTAACTAATTAAAATGCTGGAAATACCTAAAACGGTAAATGCACTATACTAGTGGCTGATAATTATTTGTTGTGATTTTAGGTGAAACTTGTGTTAATTTTTCATATTCTTACTATTAATAATGTCGGTATTTACAAAGTTACCCTTCTTAAAACAAAGATGTAAAAAGTAATAAAGTTTTTATATTCCATACATACTGTTAATTAAATCATCAACCCGTTTATCATTGCATGTACTATATAACTGCTAATGCCATTTGGCTGTTTTATAAATCATAATGTCCTAAACAAAATCAATCGACTGTTTTATGTTCAATAACAAAAATGTTGTTTTGATACATAAACAATTAAGAACTTAATTTTATAGAAGCAATTTAAATTAATCTAAATTTTCAGGTGTTACATATATTTCCAGTTTCTTCCCACGCCGACTAACAGTCATAGATATAGTTCTATTTTTGGTTTCGCCAAGAACACCATACACATCATTAGCACCAGTAATCACTTTCCCATCAATGTGTGTAACAATATCTCCTGGTTGCAAACCTCCACTGAAAGAAAATATGTTAAACAAAGATGTTAATTTAATGACTATTTTTTTTGTAAAATGTCTTACTTGTCAGCGGGTGATCCTAATATAACTTTCCAGACTAGAACCCCACTCTTAACATCAGCTGGAACAAACTGATTTCTTTGTTGCAACTCATTCAGAATTTCGGGCGTTAATGTGAGCATTGTAATTCCCATGTACCTCCTAGAGTGCTTCGCCTTCCCAGTCTTTTTGAGACTTTCTTTTAAGAATTCCTTTACATAATCACTTGGAATAGCGAATGAAATTCCTGCTGTTACTTTCATACTGTTTATACCAATCGCGTCTCCATCCAAATTAACCAAAGGTCCTCCTGAATTCCCAAAAGTAATAGCAGCATCAGTTTGGAGGTACACCATATCCTTGCCCCTCAACCCCAATTCATCTGAGCCTCTGTGTGTAGAACTGATTACTCCAAATGTTACTGTATTACTTAAAGCTAGAGGACTGCCTATAGCCACAACAAATTCTCCAGGCCTCAATTCTGAGGAATTTCCTAATTTCATTGTTGGCAAATTCCTTGCTGGAATCCTAACAATGGCCAAATCGCTTTTCATATCAAAATCTTCCACATATCCATTGTAAGTAACTCCGTTATGTAATTTCACTTCAACTTTGGAGTGGGGTTTATTGGCAACAACATGTGCATTGGTCAAGATAAGGCCATCTTCCCTGATTATAAAACCAGACCCGTTTGATATTGTAATAGGTTTTCCAGAAAAGAAATCAACCCTTCTGGTGTCTTTGATTTCAATGTAAACCACAGCAGGTGCTGAAGTTTCCACTACATCAGCAACAAAATTGAGCTCCTTTTTGCGATTTTTCATACCAGAAGCGGCTAATGCTGTTGGAAGCACGTTATCTTTATTAAATAATCTGTAAGTTAAATAGCCGGCTGTCATGAGAAAAAGACATTTTAAACGGTTTCGCATTGCATTGTCCGAATTTGTTTCTTGAATATCTGACGTATTACACAATATTCTTGTTTCTTTGTAGTAAAAAGGCTTATTAAAAAATGCACGCAAATCGTGGTTACGCAAAAAAATTCTTCTAAATAGAGACATTCTTAGGGACAGTATCAAAATTCGTGCCCCTGTTTACAACAATGTTTTTATTTTATTGCGTCAATGAAGTAAAATGCATATAAGATTAGTTTAACTTCAGCATTCATGTCAAACTTCTTCTACAGCTTTTTTCCTTATAGTACGTAGTATTATGTAATTGTAAAGAACTTCGATAACCTTCTGGTTAAAAGATTTCATACCTCTCGGTCAAAGACTGCCAAAATGTCCAGATTGATTAATTTGTTTTCCAAACTACTGATTTTATATTAGAATCTGCGATTATTATGTTTTGATCATATTTTTTTACAAAAACGTGACAACTATTTAAATAACTGTCAAAATTAAATGTCAATGTCAGTACAATTTGACATTTAATATAGACAACTAGCAATACACCTGTGTAGGCCAGTGCAACATAACATTTAATATTATTGAAAAATATACGAGGGATCTAAAAAAAAGAGATTTGTAAAAAGCAACTTTTTTGTTAAAATGTATATAAATATTCTAGATGCGTAAAAACTTATTACTAATTTCAGAATCACAATCGTATTTAATCATTCATTTAATTGAAGACAGAGGTAGGGTATGTTGTAGGAGTACAATGTAACTATAAAGTCCTTATCTAGGTATCAGGTATTAAGTATTTTTTTCCAATGATATTTTTTTTTATTTTTACACAACCAAAGCTAAAACTTTACAACATTGTTCCTAATTGCACACCAAAGGCATTCAGATATAACTTTTCAAGAACAAATGTTTTAATTTTAAAACAATATGAAGAAATGTTAATCCTTATACAAGGTGTTTCACGTAATTTTACAAAGCCTGCGCCTGTAAGATGCAATTAATAATACATATTCCGATACAAACTCGATTACAAATTTTGAAAAATTGAATAATGTTCTCTTGTTTGTTCACCCTTTTAAAAATTCCAACATTTTTAGGTAATTAGTGATTAAGATAGATAAACTAGAGAACATATTCATGCCGTCTCTTAATAGAACAAATAATAATTGTTTCTGAAAAACTGCAGTTTATGACTATTAATGAGACAGTGATTAGTTTGACAACTACTGTCGTGGATGGTATTTTTTTTATCCAATGTTTTGTGACTTTTGTATATTGAGGTGCGTACTTTAGGGGCAAGCCTCGTAAAGTTGTGTGAAACACCCTGTATGTTGCTAAAGAAAATTTCGCAGAACTTAAATGAAAAAAATAGTTCTTCAAATTTATTTTGTTACAATACAAAGTTAAGTCATTATACAGCCTTGTTCGTAAAACTGTTACATTTTTTTTTTACAAAATTCCACAATATGGTTTTTATTTATTAAATCTTTAATCTTAAATAATTAATATCTGCATATTTTTCTTTCATTTTATTTTGTGGTCAAAATGTATATTATCTAAAAATGTTTTTGCATAATCTGAAAAGAGAAACAACAAATTAAGAGAAGGGTTTATTTGTTATCTACTACTGCAAAATAAGATTTTTATTAATTTACATCAGGAATCTATCAAAAACTTCAATAATTTTTAAGAACCATACTAATTTTTATTATTCAAAAATCATATTTTACAGCATTAACACTTTAAACGATACATACCAACAGGAATTGCAAAACAAATCCCAGCAGTCAATCGTAAATTATTGATACCAATCACATGTCCATCCAAATTAACCAATGGTCCACCGGAGTTTCCAAATGTAATGGAAGCGTCGGTTTGGATGTAGGTCATAGGATAATTTCTCAAGCCGATGTCTTCAGCTGATCGATTTATGGAGCTCACCTTTAAAAAACCATTCTACCTTTTTTTTACAAAACATTAAAAATGAAATATTACGATTCCAACCGAGACCGAATTTGTTAAAGATAACGGACTTCCCAAAGCCACGACCCATTCACCCACTATAGCATCTTTACTAGACCCAAACTCCAACACCGGCCACTTTTTATCGGCATTAATTTTAATAAGGGCTAGATCTTTTGAGACATCAACGTGCTCGAGTGTTGCAGTGTAAGCCAAACCATCATATGTGATTACATTGATAATGCTTTGTGGTTGCTCTAATACAACGTGAGCGTTTGTCAATGCCCAACCATTTTCATTGATTATGAAACCCGAACCAGTGGATGTGATTACAGGGCTCTTTGTGTCGAAATCCACTTGAGATGGGTCACTAATGATGATGTAGAGAACAGCAGGCGCACACTTCTTCACGACGTTGTTGATAAAATTGAACTTTTCACGATTACTTTGCCTCTCATTTGCAATTTTTAGTACACTAGGAAGATCCTTCTTGGATTCCCTATTATCATCGTACCATATATTTTTAACCTGTGCGTGATCTATCCCGATCGAAAGTTTTGAAGAGGTGAGGCCTGTGGTGTTTTTATAGAGTAAATATGATGCAAGGGCACATGATGTTAAAAAAGCAGTGGTGTAGAAGCGTCTCCCAGGAGTGTATCTTGAAGGAGCAAATTTAGAAACTTTCACTTTTCCGAGAAGATATAATTTATAAAGTTTTGACCATATCGTCATAATTTGGTCACATCTACGGTGAATTTAGTATGATAAAACACTAAAACGAAAATTTATGAAACGTCAGTACATGACAGTAACTGATTGATTTTTAAAATTTTGTCTATTTTTTAAACCTCACAAATAAAGTCAGTCTGCATCCTATTTACGAACATAACACTATTTTGCTTACTAATACATTAGGATATACCATTTTAATTAACGACAAAATCCGGTTTAGAGTTTTACAAAATTCTATTATTAAATCCACTGATTGTAGGAATCGTCCTCTGTAAATAAGCGAACCTTTTCTAATCTCATTACTTCAATCTGGCACGAGACCTCAGCTGAAATTATTGTAGAAATAAAAGAGTCATTTCCTTCTTAAACGTAATTATTCGAATAAAAAAAAACTTTAGTTACAATGAAAAAATTCAATTATTCTCCAGTATGAAATAATGAGATTTTTTAAATAAAAATTACCATTCAATATTTTAAAATCAAGCAGTGGGAAACAGAATCAAATCAAAACGTAAAGTTAACTGAACCAAACCAAAGACCCGATTATTGAAATCGTTTCAGGAATCGATTTGCTTCCATCTCTAGCTTTGTTCCAGGATGATTTTCTTAACAAGAATCAATTTTGGACGTTTATATTAGCGATACGAATTATCGGGATAAAGAAAGCGGTTTCAAAGTTAAAAGATAAAGGTAGAGCTTAGAGTATATTCTTTCTATTTTAATGTGGAAAATTTATGCACAAAAGATTAAAGTGTTGTTTACAAGAACCAACATCAGTACAGTTAATTAAAAATCACGGGTCAAAGGTATTATGTTGCACAGTTTTTCTTGTTGATAGTATGTTATGTTTAATTAAATTTTTATAGTGGAGTATTAAGAAGAAACAATTAAGGTAGAAAATAAATGTGTAATACAAGGTGTTATACAGGGTGTTTCGTTTTTATTATTATATTCAATATTCATTTTTAAGGCAAAAGTTTCCTATGAACATGTATCAAAAAATATTACGTAAGCGAGCTACACCTCTTGAAAGAGATGCGTTTTTAATGGGGTTTTCCCACTATTGCAGAATAGATAAAATTACAAAAGTTGGTACAGCTGATTACTTTTAAACATCTGAACGAATTTAAAGACCAGTTGTCGAAAGTTTTAATCACGGGTCTCTTAAACGGTGAAACAAAAGTTTTATCGAAAAAACTCAAGAGACCTCTAAAAAAAATTATGAAATTTAGAATTTTGTGGCTGAAAGTGGCAAAAACTAACCGCCAAAATAGATACGGTACTTTTTACCCTAAACCCCCCAGTTTAAGACGCCCCTGAGTAAAAATTTCGACATTTTATCTTTAAATTCATGTGGGTATACAAAGGTAATCAGTTGTACCAAATTTTGTAATTTTCTGAAATATTGGAAAAATCCATTAAAAGATGCACATTTTTCAGGGGATGTGGCTCCTTTATATAAAAATTTTCAATATATGTTCTAGGAAACTTTTATCTTAAAATTGAATATTCTATCACCTGATTAAATTTGTAACAATAAAAATGGAACACCCTGTACAAATAGACCAAAAGCTCTCGAGAAATTCTTTTTTCAAGCAAGGGTTTTAACTATAAAACGTATTATCTTTTTTTAATTTTTACATTTGCAACTTACAGCTTTTTGAATGTGACCAACGTAAAGACAAAAATTTTCACCTCAAAAATATGGAATATATAGAATCAAGTAACAAGCTGCGATATGAGACAAATAAGGTAGTCATTATTTACCTGTAAGAAATTAAAACATTAATTTGAAATGTTTCACAATAAGAGAAAAGAGAACTAAAAATAATTAAAGTAAAGTTAGCTCTTCTCTCGATTTTGAACCAAATCAGCTGGTACCCAATTAAAGACAATTTTTTTTTATAAATCGAATTAGTTTATTAGAATTTGCAATGATAAACTGTTGTCTCTTCCAAATTGCCCTGTCTTCTTTTGTAAATTTAAAATCCGCAAAGATTGTTGAGATCTAATACCTTATTCTTACAGCGGCAAAATCATTTTGAAACATTTCTAATTGGGATTAAATAAAAAGAGCTTTTTCTTTTAATGAAAATGAAATAGTCATTTCAAATAGTCTATTTACATAATACGCGGTACGGTAATAAGAAGAATGAAACCTGACAGTTATCTGGCAATAAAAAATATCAATTTAGTACATGATGAAGTGTTTTTAAAATAATTTCTTTTAATACGTAATTTATTAAAAGGAGATAAAAAATTGGCAAGATACAGCATCAAAGGTTTTTTTATGAGTCATTTAAAAACTTAAAATAGTGCTAAACTAGAAAGTTCTAAAATAAGGAAACAATATGCTATTAATCTGAAAAATACTTTTTTAATGAATAAATGTAATTAGAAAATAATATCCTTTAATGAACACTTGAGAACAAATGAAAACTGTTGAGCCGTAGCAAAGTATTTAAAATGAATCCTTAGTGTGAAGTTTAAACTCTTTTAAGAATATCGTCAAATATTTAATTGCACAATACTGAAAAATTATGGAAGAGATATTAAAATTGAAAGACATTCAAATAGGTACTCGTATTTAAAAAATACAGTGCAGCTAATTTAATTCGTAATTTTAGCTTAGGTATAAGAGATTTTAGCAGTAGTTTCAACAATGTTACGAATTGCTAAATTGAATTTTGCTAAAAACAACAGAACAACTCGTTTGTTAATCTGCGAGGAATAGTTTTGATAAATAAACTTCTTGCTGCACATGTAAAGTGAAAATATCTTAATTATCTTCATTTTTTATTTTATATATTTAAATCTCCCCTACCGATTTTTGATAGAAGTCGGCAGGCAATATCCTAGTTTGAATATTAATGTGTTGATATTCTGAAACATATGAATATGCCGATTTATCAATGTTTATACCTATCTCCTCCATATCTACTATACCGGGTGTCCGGTCTCAAATTTGAAAATTGTATTTTAAAGTAAAAATACCATTTTTATTCTTATTTTTGGAATCATTTGACGCGAAATTCATCACCTTACTTAGATATAGGTTGCAGGGGCGGACTGGCAAATTTTTATATGGGGTGCTAAGTTGAAATGAGGGCCCAATATACAATACAATAAAAATATGGATAAAAGCTACTTGTCACTTGATGTAATATTTTTTTTTTGAAGGAGTTTGTTTCCTCTATTGAGATTGGGACGTCAGTTGAAATCATGATGGTTTAATAAACGAAAATAAAGTTTTTAGATGAACGTCTTCAGTGGCTTTTAATTTTTGTATTTTTTTTTTGTTTCTGTGCACCAATTTATACTTATATTTAGATTTTTCCATTATGTATGTCCACTAATAATTTAAAAAAAAAATAATGAAAATTACAACAATCAAATTACAAAAAGACACTCTTTGATTTGGTGTAAACGGAAGTCTTGTAGAAGCTATACATTTCCGGTAGCAATAGGTCCTCCCAGTTTTTGTATCATAACTTCTTTTCGGATTATTAATTTCTGTTTTTGATATCAAAAATTAAAAGCCCAATCATTTTTTTTACAAAAAAAAGGTAGTTTCATATCGCCAAAATGTACCGTTCTCGAGTTATTTCAGTTTAAACTAAATTCTAAACCGCGCTGCAAAATCAGAATTTGCGTACCTTGGAAACAATCCACTACGAATGACATCGCTGTCAATGCTGTCATATTTAAAGTAAATTTCATTAAATCCAAAGGAACATTTGTTTATTTCTTGATGATTAGAAAAGCTGTAATTTTTCTATTGCTTGATGAGTTGGATTAATAAATACTATGCTATCTATTGTCATTTGTAGAGGAGTATTCGTGATTAAAATTATGACACAAATTTTTGAATCATTTGTATAAATCCACGTGGAATTTTTCTTACATGCGTGTAAATCATTGAAATTATAGAAATTATAGTTTTATTTGTTATGATGGCAATTTTTTAATTCCTTCAAACTTAGCYTCTGCGAAAAACGCAATTCAGCACTTCATGGATTAGCTCTATGCRTTGTGGAAAGTTTGTTTACAAATTTAAAATTATTGATATTATTTCAATSAGCTCTTTACATAATAAGCCTACCATAATTGGGGGCCCGTAAGACTGGAGGGCCCGGGGTGCTGTGGCACCCCGGCACCCCTGGCCAGTCCGCCCCTGATAGGTTGTATTGGCAAGCAGAAATCAGCAAAAATAAACAAAACCATGTTAAATCCCTATGTTCGCAATTGAGACCGGACACCCGCTATATCAAAGTGTTGATATTGATAATAATTAATCTGATGTTTAACGAAATATTCTCCATATTTATATATAATAGCTTGAGATTTTATATTTATAATTACTTTACGATTCATAAGAATAATTAAAAATTGATTTATAAATCGTCGTGAGATCTCACATAATCTAAATATAAAAATAAAGATCTATTTATTTATCGAAATATTGGTGTATCAGCAATAATTATCGATATATCAATACCTATATCAATATTGATAAAATTCCCAGCTTTAATTGGTAGTATTTGTTTCGTTAAATATTTGGATATTCTGGGATTTGATGCAAACAGCTTTTGTTTTGTTTAATTTAAAACAAAAAAAGTAAGCAGAGAATATTGAAAATTACATTTTTCATTTTATTTGATGTCTATTTAATATTTCATGGTATATTTCCGAGCTAAACAGCCAATCTCATTAATTTAAAATTGTCGGTATAGTGTATACAAATATCAGCACACATGAGTATCATTAATATCAATTTTTCATTACATTTAACTTAACAGTAAAGTTAATTTTGCCATCAAAAGTCTTTCTACACTATTTTCAATAATTTTAGAAAGAACATAGAATGCTTCTAGTTACACGCTTTATAATCCGCTTAAAAATACGTTATAACTAGTGGCAAAAATGTGTAACATGTGACCAAGACAGAAAATCCTTTGTGAAATTGTGTCCCAGGGCAACATTTTCTACCTAACAAGAGCACCAAATTAAATAAGTCGGTAAAATCTGCATTTAAATTGCTTTGGGCGACCACTTCTTAATTAATTCCGATCATTCTATACGTGTATAATATATCCAGCAAATTAATAATCAAGGACTTAAGAGACAACTTGTTTTGATGGTTGAAATGGTCTATTTATGCCAACGAAGCATTTACTACGATCCCAAACCAGCTTTAATCACCACAACAGAGCGGCGATAATCAGCAGGAACGGATACGAAAAGGGGTCACAGGGATAGAACCTCCACCTCAATCCCTACAAGTATTTCTATCAAGTTAAGAAAAAAATGCTTTTTATATGTTTTCATTTGTTATTAATTAAAGGCAATGCAGAGAAGACTCCGACGACTTATAAGTTTATTAGTAGGTAGTGTCAAAATACTTTAAAATATTCCAGTTCATTTTTTTAGGAAAATCAACAAAATAGATCACAGTTGAAGTAATTCAATTGTTGGAAAGTCGCTGTAACATTATACAGAGTGTTCCGTTAAACCCCACATTAAAAGTCGAAAAATCGTATTTATTTGAAAATTGGTACATAGCCATAATCCATTAAGTTCTCATTAATGAAAATATTTTCAAGATGGCGGCACTTCCGGTTATACCTGAAGTCGGTCTCAACTTTCTTATTTTAAATGGAAAGCTATATTTTTTACTGCGTTTTGGGATTAATCGGGTCATTTTAAGAGAGTTTTTATCAGCTTTCCCTATACTTAAATTTAGCCGTTTTTGAAATATTTATTTGGAGTTTTTCAAATTTTTTTGGATCTGCATCGTCCACTTTAAAAATCGGTAACTCTGCTATTTTTTAAAATTTTGAATTCGTTTCTTTGGCGTTTGAAGGAGAAAGTTTAGATCTTTCTTCCGGCGTTTTCAAATTTTGAAAAAAAATTAACAAACCCTAAAATTTTAAGGTTACTTTTGCAATAATTCAAATACCCATAACTCATTTTTTTCAAATGAAATACCCCAATTTTTATTTCACTAAATCGAAGAGAATTTAATTCTGCATTGATCTGTATTAACATTTCATATGTACCTAAATTTAATAATTTTTAAGTTATGGTGACTTTTTGTTAAGACTGCCGAAAATCTATTACTACTCACATCCGTTTTCGTATAGTTTCTCTATATTGTTTCTCAATAAACGTCGATAGTGACTTATTATTTGACAAATAGTGCCACAATATGGAATATCAAAGCTAGTCAATCCTAGATTTAATTAATTTATTTTGTATTTATGGAGAGTGTAACAAAATTATGATGTCGTTCATTAAACAAAAATAAATTTTTCTCACTTGTTATCTTTAAATAATGATCGCATGGTAGAACCTATCAATAATAATTAAGTTTGCATAACTTTGATTTTTCATATTTTGGCACTATTTGTCAAATAGTAATTTACTGTTGACGTTTGTTTAGAGAAAATTGGAAGGTGCAGATCCAAAAATTTTTGAAAAACTCCAAATATTTCAGAAACTGCTAAATTTAGGTATAGAGAAAGCTGATGAAAACTTCCTTAAAATAACCCGATTAATCCAAAAACGTAGTAATAAATATACCTTTCCATTTAAAATAAGAAAGTTGAGACCGACTTCCGGTATAAGCAGAAGTGCCGCCATCTTGAAAATATTTTCATTTAGGAGGACTTAATGGTTTACGGCTATGTACCAATTTTCAAATAAATACGATTATTCGAACTCCCAATAATTCTAATGTGGGGTTTAGACGGAAAATTTCAAATGTTGAAAATGTGACTGAAACAAACTAAAACAATTGTTATAAGAACAAAGTTCTAAGTTAACCAAGTGCTACAGAAGCTAAATTGGTAGGCAGCACCGTACTGTGAAGAAAGTTCTGTACAACCCGACAATTAATGTCTTAATTACCTTGGTATACTATATTTTGATATTGTGTCAAAGGTAAAATATTTCTTGATATTAACATTTCTAGTTTGCGAACCAATCGGACCTTGAAAATAAAGTAGCTCTGAAAACGTTTGGATGGTTATTACTGCTTTTAGGTTTCAGACAAAAGTTCTGGATCTGCTCCTACAATCCGTCCCCTCATTGTTTCATTTTCCAGGTTCCACACGTCCCGTTCCCGATCCGTCTCCTCCACAAGGGAGGTGAATGTCGGTCCCAAAATAACCGCGATGGCGTCCATGCATCACGACGTCGCGAACTCTGCCGATGCCTGAACTGGGCTTCTGAAAGCGTCAGTCAGTGCCATGGCGGATGATCATTCGCACGTGCCGCGCGCCAAAGCTCGATCGGCTTCCATATGCGCTACCAGTCTCGAAACGATCCCCCCGATGGGGGGCATCCCCAACGGGGGCACGCCGCAAAGTCGCCGCCGAAAGCCGGCGACTCGCTCGCAGAGTGCCCGACTCAACAACAACCGCTCCATAAAGCGGCGGACGTTGGCCTCGGCGAACCAAATAGAAATGAAGGGTCACTGTAACAGTGAACCGAAACTAACAGACCAAGCAGGAGTCACTCCTGAAGTCTCTCCCAATATCAAAAGGAAAGGTTCCGCAAGGAGAGGAACCTCGGTTTATCACAGAAAATCGACGGCTTTTCTAGACGTGCCTGACACACGTGCTGCCAGGGGAAACCCCGAAGAGGAAGACGAGGATTCGTACAGATTGAGGTCGTTTAGTTTCACTTCCAAAGGTAAAATCGGAAACCAAACACAAAAAGAGTTTATTATTAGACGGAAATAACAACTAATTATTTGATGATTATAAATATTTCAACGGAAAGAATGAAATTAACTATGTTCATTAGTGTTTTCTCTTTTACTTAGGGTGGCATATTGATTAAATACGTGGATGATATCAGGACGCTCTTTAATTGGCCATTGTTTTTAATTGACCGTCAATCTAAACGTTTTTTTATGCGCAAAATAAAATGTTCGGTATATGTTGGACGCGTTGCATCTGACAATATAAGATATTAAGAGGCGTTTATTTTGTTTACAGACAGTTAAATTGGAAAATTATGAACGGACAACGGAATATTTTTATGATTCAGGACTTTTTAGCTCACTTTTACGTTTTTTTACTAAAATTTATATAATCTATAATCACTTATTTTTGAAGAACATATTGTGTGAACCATTTTTTTTTCCTTAAAATATACAATTAAATTCTAGTAAATTTCTATTCATGCTATGAAATATGCACAAGAGTTGAGTAACCTGCAAAAATTTGGCAGAAATATCTGCACTGTAGTAAATATGTTGTTCTACAACTTTTCTCAGTTAAGATTTTGTCATCAAATTTTTTGACAATAATAAACAATCTTGCAAACGGGAACACCAAACTAAAATTGGAAGAAAATTATTGTCATTTTCAGTCCGTATAAAAATATATGTAACAAAAATCGTAAATAAGATTAATACTCGTAGATCTAAAATTGTGTATTTCTATCATATGACAAAAAATTAAATCTCAAACAAGGTTTTTATATTCAAAATAAAATACTAAGAGAACCCATTCCATAAACTACTTAAAATCCCTCTTCTTTAAACTTTTAACGTAGACTAGTTCAATAAAACAAATCTTCTGAAACTACTTTTCAATAAACTGTATTTTGTTTCTTTTATCAATATTTTACGGTAAAACTTCTCTAGCGATAGAAAAGCATTAAAATCACCGAAAACAAACACGAGGACAACGATTATTCGTGTCTTTGATATTAAAATCGCTTATGTATTTACCACTAACATAAAATTTTGCAAAAATTTAATCTTTTGTTGTTTTTTCTTAATAATTCAATTTTTTTTAAGTGTTAGTATAAATATCTAGTAATTTTTATTTAACCAATTTTTTAATTTTTTTATTTATTTTGTTGTAAATTTTCACATAAGCAGTTTTTCCCCAGAGCTCACGTTAAACTTTAAAAAGTAAAGAATTAATGAGCTTGTTAAAAACTTGCGCGTGACTTTTCCGAAAGCTTTTATATAAGGTCAAAAAGTAATAGTGGCGTCTTGCACTCAATTAAGGTTCACAGGTCAGCAGGGACATTTCCTGTCGAACTGGATTGAAGGACGATGAAGCGAGAAAAAAATATAAGCGAAGCACTTTTCACATGTCTGTTGTAGGTAAACGTTTCTCTTTCCGAAATAATGCTGTTTAAATCAGGATTGAGAAAAGTTTTAAAATACCGGATCCAGCTTTACTTTCTTTCCAAATGTGGAAAACAAAAGGAAAAGCAGCACAGTTGGAAAAACGTGGACAGAATCAATCAAACCGCAATCAGTACGTGGTTGTGAGATTGTTTCCCATTTTGATCCCACTTGGTAAAGATTAAAGATCGGGACGAAATCTCCGTTTTTCTGACTAATTAAAGCAAACAATAGTATAAAAACATAGCCATTGTTGCGATAATAAAAAGGCTGAATATTAACGCTGAATTAACTCCAATTAGAACCGGAGAGCCGGTCTCTAGTATTTTTCCGGCGCTTGGTCAAATATTTGTTCCCTTTGCTGCGGGATTTTTCGCTTGAGTAGCAAATATTTATGTCAATATAAAAATTTTACTTTTCAAATAATAAACAATGTGAGGTTTCGTACAGACGTCATTCGAAAATTTTTGTTTCAATTTAGGCTATGAATATAAAAATTTTTACGTGCAACTTGAAATTAAAAAAATAGACAACAAATGGTACAATCTAAACAGTTTACTTTAGTTATAAAGTAAAAGTGAAGCGAAATTAGATGCTCAAAGTGGATTACATCAGCGTATAGACAGTAAGCCAAAGGATCCTCAAATCATCTTAGGTATTACTCAAGGATTCCAATGAGATTGTCCTATTTCATGCGATTGATGTGCAATTTTCTATGCTTATTCACATGAATCTCTATAGGTAATCAAGTAGCACTCGCTCTTTTTACAAGCTCTTGCGTTCACGCAAATAACAGCAGCCATTTCCACATGTTTTATATCAAGAGTGATTTAATTTTAAAGCAGATTTCTATATTTAGCTGTTTAAAAATTTTGCCATAATAATCAATTTGGTCTGTTTATTATTTCATACTGCGCTCTAAATAAGTATTAACAGCGTGAATACATGTATGCATACATACAGTGAAGATTTCATTTCGCTAAATATTAACACTATTTATGAACCCTATTCAGCGAAATAAAATCCTCATTGTATATTAAATAAGAATCTTATTAAATTCATTTTATCTAAGGTTTTTCAAACAGGTATCTTCCAATTTATTTAAAACTGTGATTCATCCAGTTGGTTTTAATATTTAATTATCTTTGTTGAAATTTAATCATATTCAACCGGATTAACTCGATTATGTTTTGCATGAACATTATTACAAAAACAAAGAATTTGAAACAAGACACAATTACAGAGGTTTGAAGTTTCTCCTCGTAGCAGGAAGACAAATAATAGATATACCTTTGTATATCAAAGTGAGAAAAGTGTGTGATAGCTTACATATATTTTTATTATAATTTTGACATATGAGGAAGAAAATTACCTCCCTGGAAGGTAATTGGTCACTTTCCTTTCTGAAATTAGGGTGAAAAATCTTACTTTCTATTACGGTCGTAGGAAAAAAAATGTACCAATTTTTGTGACATTAAATTTTATTTAAACAAGATAGAATGGAGGTTTCATAGTTTTCAAATTAAGTACAATCCTGTATGTGACATATGGTGGAGGCGCCGGGTATTCATTGTCGTGACAACAATTCTAAAATGCTGGACAAATGTCAGAAGCAGAATATTCAGCGACTTGCAACGTCGAAAACTTTGTTGCGGTTATCAGTCTATTGCGGAATGTGATAATCAAGCAATATGACCGCTTAGGTACCGCAACATTCTGAATTATAGTTTGTTAATATGGCGGAGAATATTAATGTATCCCAACACAGTTTAATGAAAGACATTATTTCCTACAGCTAATCGCTTGATAGATGTAATGATGATAGATATTTTGTGAAGAATTGGATGACGTAAAAACAAAAAACATGTAAATTATAAATATCTTGAGAAAATCGTGAAAAGTTTGTCCAAAACGTGGCCATCGGTGGAGTATTAAAAATAAATTTAGCTATACAGGGTTAGTCACAGGAGAGTTACTTCTGAAGTAATTTGGACAGCAACCCATTATACAATGCACATAGGCGTCTAGCTTCCTCATTTTTAAAAATTATAAAATTGAATCCAAGAATACTTTGCATAAATAAAATATTATATCCAGTTACATATGCTAAAGGTATTTTTGGTTGCAAACTAATTAATTTTCAAAGTAACTCTCCTGTGACTGACCCTGTATAGAGTGTATACAGGGTGTTTACGGTCTTGAGGTTGAAATTTAAATGAGATGATATTCACGGTAGAAGAAAACTAATACGCTACATAAAACAAAAATTCACGTAGTTAAAGGAAATTATTCATTTTACACTATTTGTTTGAGAACTGCTGCTTCGGCGGCAACAATGGCCATTAGTATCATTACGTTGTGTTCACCATAAATCAAAATCGCGACAACCAATTTATTATTTTAATATTTTGCTATACATGTATATAAATTTGGAGAAAAATTAAGAAAAACGAATCAAACCTATTGGAAACCAACCATTCGCTGAAAGAGATTAAACAGAAGATCTTCGAATTTTGATAAAAACTAAAGCAAAAGCAAATCAAATGATGACAGTGTCAAAACTATGAAGTGACTTTTCTCTTTCACTTTCATTGTCATGGATACGATTTTTTTATCTGTTGCAACAATACAATTTTATCTGAACAAAGGAATAATTCCAGTGACCTTCAAACCGTGTACCAATATTTTGGAGTTAAATAACATTCTTGATAATAACAATTGTATGAGTTTTTTTCTCGGTTACAGTATTTCTGTACTCTTCTATTACCAGGTCAATTTTCAACTCCAACAGTGTAAACACCCTGTATAGATGTTTTTTTATGCAAAAACATTTATAATCGTAATTACAGTGTTTAAGTAGCGAACAACCCGAAATCAGATTTGATAAAGATGTTAACTGTTTGTGTTCTTTTGTAAATATTGATATTGAAGTAAGAAAATACGTTATAAAATTATTAAAATATTGTCATTTATTGTTTCCTGGTTATCTAATACCTACCATCTCTCCTTTCCATTTATATTGAAGCCATATGCCTACTGTTTGTATCATTTTAAAAAGACATATTTTGTACATACACTCGTAGGAACAATATAATCTGCGCAGTAAATTTTCAAAATTCCAAATCTGGTAAAATTATGTAAAATTGAGACATTGGTATATACAGATGAAAAATATTTATAATAAAAAATTAAAATTTTGAAATATTAATGTCAAACCACCTTTGCATCTGCTGTCTTACTTCTAATCCTAATCATTTAACGTATTTTATTACAAGAGACTTTGATTTGACCAGAGATTTAATATACATATCCAAAGCCTCTGGATTTGACAGATATTTTGTCCCTAGATCCTGGTGATTTTTAACACTACAAAAATCACCAACTGGACAAAAATAAATCCTCCATTTCTAGGAGGCAAGCCCCTCATTTCATAACATTATTCACCATTCACAGAGTAACAAAATTTAATGAATGATATTTTCCTTTTAGTTAGTTGTCAATACAAGGATTCATAATTTAATTACAAAAAAACATTTTTACATTT